GCTCAGTCATTAAGCGTCTGCCTTCAGCTCAGGTCATGATCCCAGGGTCCTGGGATCGAGCCCCACATCGGGCTCCCTGCTCGGCGGGGAGTCTGCTTCTTCCTCTCCTACCGCCCCGCTTGTGTTCCCTCTCTAGCTCTCTCTCTTCTGTCAAATAAATAAATAAAATCTTTAAAAAAAAATAATTTGAGAAAGAGAGAGGAGGGGCGAAGGGCAGAGGGAGAGGGAGCAGCAGGTTCCCTGCTGTGCAGAGAGCCCAACATGGGGCTCGAACCCAGGACCCTGGAATCATGACCTTAGCCGAAGGCAGATGCTTAACAGACTGAGCGACCCAGTCGCCCCTAAACACTTCAGATTATAATCACAAATGCAATAGGTTTGATTCACTGGAAGTCTCTAATAGATGCATTCTGTTAAGCATGTCCCACAGAGTGGTCTGTGCCCAGTGTGGTGCATGGACACACAGGGAGCCTGTTTTGTTCTGGTCATTAGGCAGGAGTCCCACATCAGGCCTTCTGAGCAGTTGGTTGTTTGAAGCATTAGGAGATGGGAAGTTTCCACCTACCCCTCTGCAGGAGAGGGAGTGGAGACCCACAGCACATAGCATGGCACATCTATCTCCTAAGAAAACTTTTCTTCTCTTGTCCCCTCACTCCAAGGACCGGGGGGTGGTGCAGTAGATGTGGTCAGTGATAGCAAAACTGGTTTTGCAGCCACTTTGCCTGTCCTGCAAAGGCAGCATGGTCCCTGGTTTTGGCATGAGAGAAACTGGGTGTCTACCATCATTTTTGTTGCTCTTGGCCTTGAGCAGTCCAGCCGATATGCAGACAGCCCATTTTAACAGTTTATGCACACCTGCCTAAACACACTTTATACAAACTATCTCTACATACTGAGTTTGCCCCTTCTGGAGTTGCAAGATCACCCAGCCCAGAGGAGCACTGTTTTCCTTTTGGGTCCACCACCACGGCCACCAAGGTTGGGGACCTGGGCACCTCTGGGGACATGGATCCCAAATTCATGTCTCTCCCTACCAACTTCAGTATCAGAAAGACCACACTGGTCATGCCAAATGCTATTTATGCAACCTGTTTTGCTCTTTACATCATGAAATACTCATCCATTTCCTTTTCAATTAATGTGTTTGGGGTCCTATTTATGCAATCTTTGTCTATCCCAAGATCATGAAGATCTCCTATTCTCTTTTCCAAGAGCTCTATTGTCCTCTCCTTCATGTTTAGATAGTCCATCGGGAACTGATCTGGTGTGATGTGAGGTAGGGATCAAGAAACTTTTCTTTCATTTGGGTATTCAGTTGACCCAGCACTGCTTATTTATCACACAATCTTCTTTTTTTTTTTTTAGATTTTTATTTATTTTTTATTTTTTATTTATTTATTTATTTTTTTAACAGAGAGAGAGACGGCGAGAGAGGGAACACAAGCAGGGAGCGTGGGAGAGGGAGAAGCAGGCTTCCCGCTGAGCAGGGAGCCCGATGTGGGACTCCATCCCAGGACCCTGGGATCATGACCTGAGCTGAAGGCAGACGCTTAATCACTGAGCCACCCAGGTGCCCTTTTTTAGATTTTTTTTAAAATTTATTCATTTGAGACAGAGAGAGGCAGAGAGAGCATGAGCAAGGGAAAAGCAGGCAGAGGGAGAGGGAGAAGCAGGCTCCCCACTGAGCCAGGAGCCCAATTCGGGGGCTCAATCCCAGGACCCTGGGATCATGACCTGAGCTGAAGGCAGATGCTTAACCATCTGAGCCCCCAGGCGCCCCATCACACAAGTTTACTACCTATCAAGTCCTGGGTGTACAGAGGTGGGTAAAGCAAAGCCCTTGTCTTCATGGTGAAGGCAACAGACAGGAGACAAGGGGAAAAATATATCAAGGGTGGTGGATGCCAGGCTACATGATAAAGCAGAGTAGGAGGACAGGCCATAATGTATTTGAGCAGCCTTCTATTATTACAGGTCACTCAGGCTGTGTCCGGTGTTTTGCTATTATAAATAGCATTACTGTGGGCATCTTTAAAACAAGTCTTTGGGGATATTTCTGATTATTTCCTTATAAAAACTATGTGGATAAGGACTTAGGCATCAAGGAGTATGAGTTTCTTGGGCTTTGATACATATTTCCAAGCTGCCCTCCAGAAGAGCTTACCAGTTTACACTCTCCAGAGCCCAGTGTTGGAGGGAGCTAAGCTGCCTGTGTTTCACTGATTTTGGGGTGAGCCCTCGGGGGACAGTGTGAACATGCAGACTCCCCTCCCACCACCCCCCTTCGCCTGTGGTATTTAATTTCCCTAGCAATGCCCTTCCTCCTTTCTTCCCACCCAAGTCCTAGCCAGTTTTTACATCATTCTGACCTCTCCCCTCCTGGCACTCAATTATATATTCATATTGTTTCATTATCTATGTGAAGTGAGTTTAAATATTTTATTTATTTCTTAGAGAGAGAGGGAGAGAGAGAGAGAGTGCACTTGAACAGGGAGGGGCAGAGGGAGAGGTAGAGGGAGAAAGACTCTGAACCAGACTCCGCACTGAGTGCAGAGCCCCACATGGGGCTCGATCCCTCCACCGTGAGATCACGACCTGAGCCGAAATCAAGAGTTGGACGCTTAACCGAGGCACCCGCTCACCCCTATTTGAAGTGAGTTTAAACTGATCAGAACAGATACTACACTTGATCTTAGCCTTATATGTTGCTTCCCTAGAAGATTGTTTTTCCAAAGACTTGGACAAGTTTATACTTCCTGGGGCATGAAGCCAAGTGTAACGCACACAAGAAGCATGTACTAAAGCAGTGGCCAGAGTGGTGCCCTTCAGAACCACAGCACACTCACTTCCAGACAGACTTGGGCAGATAGTATTGGTCCCACTTGGATGGGCCAGTCTGCTGCTGTAACTGCACACCAGTGCGATGCTTCAGAACCCAGCACAGATGACCACGAGGACTTGGGGGAGCATCGTTCATGCACCCACTGCAGCCGGAGCTGACCGGTCCACCCGAAGGGGCTTTCTGCAGAAAGGTTTCTGCCTTAAATGAGATAGAAATCACTGCAGGTTGTGTTGATGGTGACTTGTCCATTTCTTGAGACAGCCACCAAGAAGGCCCGGGCCACCAGGAGGAGCCTGCTGCACATCCCCTACGGGGACGGTGAAGGGGAGAAACTGGACATCTACTTTCCTGGGGAAGTGTCTGCAGGTAGGTGGCCGGCAGGCGGTCCTGCAGCAGAGCTCAGCTGGCCAGGCCGCCTGGATTCATCCCCCACACCTTTGTCTTTACAGCCTCGCCTTTCTGTCTGTTCTTTCATGGAGGGTACTGGCAGAGTGGAAGGTGAGTCTGGAGTCTGGATGAGCAGGGAGAAAGGGAGATTCATCTTGCCCTGGTGTACGGTCCCCCGGGGTTGCTGCAACAGATGACTGCAAACTTGGTGGATTATCACAGAAGCGTGTTCTCTCCCAGTTCTGGAGGCCAGAAGGCTGAGATCAGGGTGTGCTCAGGGCCGCACTCTGTCCCAAGGCTCCAAGGGAGAACCCGCTCCTGCCTCTTCCAGCTTCTGGGGGCTCTAGGTTTTCGTTGGCTGCGGTTGCATCATTTCCATCTCTGCCTCCATCCTCGCGGGGCCCCCTTGGTGTCTGTGTGTCTGGGTCACAGATCTTCCCCCCCTTCTCTCTTGGATGACCTCATCTCGGGATCCCTAATGACAGCTGTGTAGACTCTATGGCCACATTCCCAGGTACTGAGGTTAGGATTTGGACCTATCTTGGGGGGACACTATTCGACCCACTATACCCGGTGAGAAGCATGTTCAAGCTACTCTCAGTCAGAAGGAAACCACAGTGACTAACCTTCCCAGCCTGCTCAGGACTGAGGGGTTTCCCAGGACCTGAGGCTTTCAGTGGGAGAGTCCCCGGGCAAACCAGGTCAGCTTGTCACCTTAAGATAAGCAGAGAGGTATTTGAGATCTTCAAGGACACTGTTGTTCCCTAGGTTCTTACTAAGGAGCCTGCTATAGGATCTACCACCCCTCAAGCATAGTGATCTTCATAGCTAGATTTATAGCACTTTACCCTTTGTCATGCAAAGCTCTCTACCCATCTGATCTTCATTTCTCAAAGACAGCGCCTAAGAGAATGTAGATGTCCCCATTTTACAGATGAGGAAAGCGGACTTAGAGGTTAACTAAAGCCCCGGGGTTTAATAGCTAGCATGTGATAAGGTAAGGACAGCGCCTACCTTCTTCCTTGTACTACACGGAACCGGAGAGGGGTGGAGCCCTGGGCGGAAAGGACGTGGAAGGCTCCTGGTGGCCCAGGTGCCTCCAGTTGTCACATCTTTGTCTCTTTCCACAGTAAAGACACATCAGCCTTCATGGTCAACCCACTGACAGCACAGGGAGTGGCCGTGGTGGTCATGGCTTATGACCTTGCCCCCAAAGGTAATGAGGATGGTCCTGCAGGTTTGAAGGCTGCTGGGCTTTGGAGGGGAGAGAGCCCCCCACGGATCCTGACACAGCTCCTGCTCTCCATGCAGGTACCCTGGACCAGATGGTAGACCAGGTGACTCGGAGCATCGCATTTGTCCAGAAGCAGTATCCGTGCAATGAGTGGGTACCACTGCAGATTTTCCTTTTTATCAGACAATGAGGGAGGATGGTGATTCAGCCCCTTGGATGCAGCCCAGCTGTCCCCTCTGGCCTGTGGAGCAGAAGGCAAATTGGGAGTCTTTGGTACTGGCCCAATGCATTCGGGAAACTGAAGGTGAATTGGGCTCTCTGCTCTGACTCAACCCAGGGGAATTTACCTGTGCGGACACTCAGCAGGGGCCCACCTGGCTTCCATGATGTTCCTGACCAACTGGACCAAGCATGGAGTCACACCCAACCTCAAAGGTTTTCATGGGACTGCAGGTTTGGCTGGACAGCCATCACCCTCCGCAGATGGTCTGCACCAGGGGCACAAAATCCCAACAGCCACGGAGGGCTTGACCTGGGTCTTTGAGCCCTGTGAAACAGGCCTGCTTTGTGTCTCTACCCCTACCCTGGTCTTGCCCCTTTGGCCCTGGAGGCTGGGCTGGCCCCATATTGCCCCCCCAGGGCCGGCTTGAGGCCCAGTGTGGGTAGAGTCTTGGCCCCACCTGCAGCCTGGCCCTCTGACTATTCTTCACCTTCACAGGCTTTTTCCTGGTAAGTGGGATCTATGACCTGGAGCCCATTGTCTACACCACTCACAACGCCCCTCTCCACATGACCCTGTGAGTCATTTGTCCTCCCGGAGCTGAGCGTGAGCCTCTCAGGGGGGCCAGGGGTGAAGTGCAGGCTTCTCTCTGTCCTGACCCATGCCTACCCCTGCGCTAGGGAGGATGCTCAGAGGAACAGTCCCCAGCTGCTCCTGGAGGCAGCCTTGACGCGGCCCTCGGATCCAGCCTGCCACGTGCTGGTGACTGTGGGCCAACACGACTCCCCTGAATTCCACCGACAGTCCAGGGAATTTTATCAGGTACTCCCAACACCCCGCCTCTGGCCAGAGGTTGAGGGTCCTGTGTTCTCATTACCTTCCTCTTTATTTCACCCAAGGGGACCCCAAGACCACGAGCCATTTATTCAACAAATACTTAGCGAGGGCCTGGTACATGCCCGGCGTGGTGTGGACCTCCCCCACCCTCCCCCACCCTCCCCACCCTGCTGCCTCCTGCTTTGCTCCTTTCCCCACCCAGACACTGCACCGAGGAGGGTGGAATGCCTCGTTTGAAGAAATCCATGATGTGGATCACTTTGAAATCATTTGGAACCTCACCCAGAAGGATTTCGTGCTCACCCAGGTGGGACACATCCTTTTACTGTGGAGAGCAAGGGTTCCCCCTCCAACCCCTGCACAGGAGAGGTGGGGAGGTAGGGAGAATGGAGGAGCCACTTTACTGGATCTTTGGCCTCTAGGAGGCTGGGATCCTGATGGTAAGAATTGAGTACCCCACTAGCTTCCTCTACTTCACCTCCTTCTGAAATGAGGTGAGCTGCAGAGTCTGCTCCTGGGCACACAGGTGGGAGCTGCATGGGGCTTGGTATGGATGGGGACAGGCATCGATCTGGTGCAAGGAAAGTATCAGCCTATGTGTAACCATAAAGCAAAGCCAACTCTGGATAGGAGAGGATGGATGGATTTGGTTCATTACAATTTTTACATGGAGAATCCTTTTAAAAAATCAAACATTACAGGGGCGCCTGCTTGGCTCAGTTGGTGGAGTGCATGACTCTTGATATCAGGGTCGTTGAGTTGAAGCCCCATGTTGGGTGTAGAGCTGACTTAAAAATAAAATCTTAAAAAAAATCAAATATTACAATTTTAATGCGGAGAATTCTTTTAAAAGCCAAAGAATAAACTGGGGAAAATATTTGCCACAGATTTGGCAGATAAAGAATTACCACTTCTGTTGTTGTTTTTTTTTTTTTCTGGGAAAGTGGGTACGTCATTAGCTTCACTTTTTAATCAGCTGCCACCTTGGTGAGGCTTTTAGAGCATTCAGTTTTAACTCACATAGTTAATATTCTTACTATATAAAGAGCACTTACAAATCAATAAGAACCATTTTTATTTCTATTTAGGAATAGATTATAAATAGAAAAAAATGGACAAGGAATAAGGGATAATTTAAGAAAAAATATACATGGCCAGTAAACACGGAGGAAGATTAAATTATACTAGTGATCATAGAAATGTCACTTAAAAGGCCAGTCCTTTCCCACCTGTCATGGAAAATGTTCTAATGATAATTACGCCCAGCCCTGCTGGAGAGGTTGGGAAGGGCTCCTTCTCTAGTTCTGCCGGTGGGACCACTGTCTGGTGATAGGGATCCAAACCCACTGGCCCAGTAATTGTGCTGCTTGGAATTTCTCTTCAGGATAATCAAGAAATACACAAAGGTAGTCTTTGAAGCTTTATTAATACTCAAAACTTAGACACAGCTGACATGTCCCAGTGAGGTTAAATGATGACATAATTCGGTAACAGAATGAAGTTTGTAAAAATGAGTTAGGCTACATCAAATTGTTTCAGATGTGAGAGCAAAAGCACAAGAAAGAAGTGATCCAGCATATTCCCAGTTTTTTTTTTTTAAGATTATTTATTTATTTATTTGACAGAGACAGACACAGCGAGAGAGGGAACACAAGCAGGGGGAGTGGGAGAGGGAGAAGCAGGCTTCCCGCCGAAAAGGGAGCCCGATGCGGGGCTCGATCCCAGGACTCTGGGACCATGACCTGAGCCGAAGGCAGACGCTTAATGACTGAGCCACCCAGGCGCCCCAGCGTATTCCCAGTTTAATAATACATCGACAGCTAGACCCTTGGAGGCATATGTATGTGTGCGAAAAAAACAATTACCAGTGGTGACACAGGTGCATTTTAAAACACGAACACGTATTACTCTTCTTTTTTTAACTGGGGGAAAAACAAACACCCATAAGTGGCAACTCTTGAAAAACCTAAGAATTGGGGTCGTGAGTTCAAGCCCCATGTTGGGTGTGGCGATTACTTAGAATTTGGCCCTGGAGGCCTTTAATTAGTAAATTTTTAGTTAATTAATTAAAAAACCTAATTTAATCAGGTTTAATTTAATTACATAAAAACGTAAACCCACTTAGCTTGTGAGTGAACAAAAGCGCATGTCGAGCCCGAGGTAAGTCTACATATGACTGGGGGCTTATTTAGGACACTTCAGAGGACCGATGGGGCTGGGCTGTCATTTTAAGTGACCCTTCGATGCGCAGGAATGCATCCTGTTTCTTTCCTCAGTTTCCTCTCGAGAGAGGCTCACAAGAGCCTCTCCAAATCTGGGGCTCTTGTGTCTTTCCTCCCTGCTGCAGATGATTTTGAAAACAATCCTCCGGGAGCACTGACAGCGCTGGAGTGTGCCTCCCCACCCCCCCCCCCCCGATGGTGAAGCCCCTCCACAGACCCCGCACGCTTCCCCATCCTGCCAGCCTCCTGCGCTCCCCGTGCCCAGGAGCGCCTCTGTTTGCTCCGAACACCACTAAAAATCTCTTTCGCTGGCCTCGAGGGAGGGGTTCAGGGAAGGTCCAGCCCAGTCAACGCTGTGTGCTGCCCAAGCCGCCTGGCCCCCTGCCTGCCTAGAGGGCATGACAAAAATGAATAGACTCCTGGCAATAAGTAGACAGCTCCAGCTCAAAGTTTGCTGACCTTTTCAAAAGATTTTCTCAAACCAGCCTGTTCTGTCTTTTATGGCATTCTTTTGACCGCTCTGTCCTGTCCTGAGGCTTTCCCAGAGTGTCCTGGGACATAGCCTCGGGGCTGGCCCCTTCTGTGATGGGACGATGACATCCAGAGCCAGGACAAGATTCCTCTGCCCCCCACCCAGGGGTGTGTGCAATTCCCAAGCAGCCAGCCCTGTGCATCTACCACCCTCCCTACCCAGCACCCCTCCCCCACTCTGAATAACTAGCACTCCAAGTGTGATGGAGTATCCCAAAAATGAAGAATAGCCTAGACAGTCGTCAGTCGGGGATGAGTACATCCAAGCAGCCAGCAGCCGACCACTATGTAGCCATTAGAAAGATATCTGTTTACCGGGTGGGAAATCCCCCGAACATATTGTTACATGGCAAAAGCAAGATGCTCAGTGATACAACTTAGTACCATCTCAATGACTTTACACAATATACACCCGCAAAAACATGTTTTTCTCTGTGTGCCCACGTTTGTGCATGCAGGGGAAAGGCCCCAGGAGGATCCACACCTAAGGCCTCTGCTCAATGTCTGGGGAGTTTGCTTTATCTGTGTTCTTTGACTCTCAGGCTAAGAAGATAATGAATCTTTAAATGAAGTATGTGATCTGAAGTGCTAAAATATTCAAAAAGCTTTCAGGATGCAGGCAAATGAGAGTGATATTATAGTCATAACTTGAATTTATTCCAGATCTTCAAAGGAAATGACTCACAAACTGTAGGACTTGTTTTAACATTTGCAATAAATTCCGAGTGAGACACCTTGCAGCTGCTGGCGGGGGAAACCCAAGATTTCACCACACCTAGGTGGAGAATTGTCCCCTTAGGTTATGCCCTGTTGAGGCCAAATGCCTTAAAGTAAGCAAAAGGCAGAACAAAAATGTGTTCGCCCCTTGTGATCCTATTTTCACTGAAAAAAAAAAAAAATACATAAACGGGGCACTTGGGTGGCTCAGTAGCTTAAGCATCTGACTCTCAGTTTTGGCTCAGGTCATGATTTCAGGGTCGTGAAATCCAGCCCTGAGTGGGGTTCTGCGCTCAGCCTTCTCTCTCTCCCTCTGTCCCTCCCCCCACTCATGCACTCTCTCTCTCTCTCTTTCTCAAATAAATCTTTAAAAAAAAAAAAGATACAGGGTGGCACTTGGGTGGCTCAGTAAGTATTTGCCTTCTGCTCAGGTCATGATCTCAGGGTCATAGGATCGAGCCCCACCTTGGGCTCTACTCTGTAGGGAGTCAGCTTCTCCTTCTGCCTGCCACTCACCCTGCTTGTGCTCTCTCTCTCTGTCAAATAAATACATGTAATCTTTAAAAATAAATATTTTAATTTAATATTCAACTTATAATAAATACACTGTGGCCTGGATAACTTTATGGCTTTTTAAAAATGGCGTCATGATTTCTTTTTGTATTCAAGGATAATTAATATAACAGTGTTCTGTTTCAGGTGTACAATGTTAAGGCTCAGCAATTGTGTACATTGCTCCCAGTGTTCATCTCGATAAGTGTGCTCTTAATTCCCCTTATCTATTTCGCCCATCCCCACACCCACCTGCCCTCGAGCAACCACCAGTTTGTGTTCTGTATTTAAGAGTCCGGCTTTTTCGTTCGTCTCTTTTTACCCCTCATTTTTTTGTTGTTGTTGTTGTTTTTTTTTATTTTTTTTTAAAGATTTTATTTATTTATTCGAGAGAGAGAGAATGAGAGATATAGAGCATGAGAGGGAAGAGTGTCAGAGGGAGAAGCAGACTCCCTGCCGAGCAGGGAGCCCGATGTGGGACTCGATCCGGGGACTCCAGGATCATGACCTGAGCCGAAGGCAGTCGCTTAACCAACTGGAGCCACCCAGGCGCCCCTACCCCTCATTTGTTTTGTTTCTTAAACTCCACATATGAGTGGAATCTTATGCTTTTGTCGCCCTCTGTTGGACTTATTTTACTTAGCATAATACCCTCTCTGTCCATCCACGTTGTCACAAATAGCAAGATCTCATCCTTTCTATGGCTGAGTAATATTTCATTGTGTGTATATATCACATCTTCTTTTTTTTTATTTTTTTTGAGATTTTATTTATTTATTTGAGAGAGAGAATGAGAGATAGAGATCACGAGAGGGAAGAGGGTCAGAGGGAGAAGCAGACTCCCCGCCAAGCAGGGAGCCTGATGTGGGACTCGATCCCGGGACTCCAGGATCATGACCTGAGCTGAAGGCAGTCGCCCAACCAACTGAGCCACCCAGGCACCCTATATCACATCTTCTTTATCCCTTCATCAGTCAATGGACACTTGAGCTGCTTCCGTATCTTGGCTGTTGTAAATCATGCTGCAATAAACATCGGGGTGCATGCATCTTTTCGAATGATTGTTTTCATTTTCTTTGGATAAATACCCAATAGTGGAATTGCTAGATAATATGTATTTCTATTTTAATTTTTTGAGGACACTCCATACTGTTTTCCGCAGTGGCTGCACCAGTCTGCATTCCCACCAACAGTGCACAAGCGATCCTGTTTCTCCGCAGGCTGAACACTGGCTCCAGCACTGGCTATATTCTGTGCTTTTTTATTTTAGCCATTCTGACAGGTGTGAGGTGATATCTCATTGTGGCTTTAATTTGTATTTCTCTGATGATGAGTGATGTTCAGCATCTTTTCATGTGTCTGTTGGCCATCTGTGTGTCTTCTTTGGAAAAACGTCTATTCAGGTCCACTGCCCAGTTTTTAGTCGAACAATTGTTTTTCTTTGGTGTTGAGTTGTATAAGCTCATTATATAGATAACTGTATTAATGTTAAATTTCCTGATTTTAGCAATTGTGCTGTGGTTATATGAAAGATGAAGTATTTAGGGGTAAAGAGGGATAATGCTTTCACCTTATATGCCCTGTTGAGGCCAAATGCCTTAAAGTAAGCATACATATATACACATACTATATACATATTCTCTCTATTCTCTCTCTCTATATATACATATATGTGTGTGTATAGGCATCATGTAAACAGAAAATCTGGATAGAGTATACATGAGTATTCCTTGTACTATTCTTGCAAACTTTCTATAATTTAAAATGATACAATAAAGGGGCACCTGGCTGGCTTAGTCAGTAGAGCATGCAACTCTTTTTTTTTTTAATTTTTTTTAAAGATTTTATTTATTTACTTGACAGGGAGAGACACAGCAAGAGAGGGACACAAGCAGGGGGAGTGGGAGAGGGAGAAGCAGGCTTCCCGCTGAGCAGGGAGCCCGATGCGGGGCTCAATCCCAGGACCCTGGGACCATGACCTGAGCCGAAGGCAGACGCTTAACAACTGAGCCACCCATGCGCCCCTAGAGCCTGCAACTCTTAATCTCAGGGTTGTAAATTCAAGCCTCTGGTCAGGTGTAAAGATTACTTAAAAATAAAATCCTTAAAAAAATAATAATAAAGTGATACAATAAAAAGTTTCCAGAGGCACTTGACTGGCTCAGTCAGTAGAGCGTGGTAGAGCATGGGATTCTTTTTTTTAAGATTTTATTTATCCGACAGTGAGAGACACAGCGAGAGAGGGAACACGAGCAGGGGGAGTGGGAGAGGGAGAAGCAGGCTTCCCGCGGAGTGGGGAGCCCGATGCGGGGCTCAATCCCAGGACCCTGGGATCATGACCCGAGCCGAAGGCAGACGCTTAACGACTGGGCCACCCAGGCGCCCCAGAGCATGGGATTCTTAATCTCAAGGTCCTGAGTTTAAGCTCCATGTTGGGCGTGGAGCCTACGTAATTAAAAAAGTTGTTTCCAAAATGTTGTGACATTAAAAGAATAGAAACCAGCAGCCCACGTGGGGCCAGAGCACTGAGAAGTCCTCTTATTTCTGACCTGCGGATGTGAGAGGCGCCACTCAGCCACCCCTGCAACTCAGGAAGTGACCTCAGAACACCCTGTTCCTGACGCAGATGGAAGACACACAGATTTCCCCGTAGGCTGCAGGATTTGCCTGTTGCTGGGACACCACTTTGAGGAGGGAAGGGGGGCGTTTGCCCTGGGGTCAGCCCGACCCATCCTCCCTGTCCTTCCCTGTTCTCTCCTACGTTTGTCATTGCCCCCACCCCACCCCTGCCCTCCTGGACACCCAGGTCTGGGCGGTCAGTGATGCCCTCAGGGACTTAGAGTTAATGTCCTTCTCTGTCCTTTAGTTGTCTTTCAAGCTTTCCTGAAGCTTTTGTGTGGCATTGAAGCCCTCTAGAATTATCCTTTCTGACTTGATGGAACAGGTGGGGACCTATCTCGGCCCTCTTTGGTTGCCTAGCACCTGGGAGCTGCTCGGGGCTCTGTTCCTGGAGTTCCAGCCACCCAGGCGCCCCTCTGGGTCTCCTTTTATTCACCTGTAAAAGAATCCAGCTGGAGCAGGAATAGGCAGACAGACCCACAGGCAGAACCGAGGCTGGTTTGGATCCCAGAGATGAGTCCCAGCACATAGGGGAGTTTGCTAAGTGATAAAAGTGGTGTTTCAAACCTGCCTTTGTTCAAAGCTGCTTACCAAACAGTGTGGGGTCAACTGGCCAGATCTTGGCAAAGAAACCTGAACCCTTTCCACGTGTACCTTCTATCGATATTCTGAAAGGATCAAGATTTTAACAATGAACACCAAAACCAAAAGGAATCTTCAATGAATATCTTTTATAAGTCATCTCAGAGTGGAACAAAACAAAAGAAGCCAACCAGAAATAGAAAACAAAAGTCAGGGGTGCCTGGCTAACTCAATCCAAAGAGCATGTGGTTCTTGATATGGGGGTAGTGAGTTCGAGCCCCACGTTGGGTGTAGTGATTACTAAGAAAAAACAAAACAAAAAAACACACTTAAAACACCAAAAGTCAGGGGGGGAAAAGACTGATAAATATAACTGCATAAAAATTAAAAACTTCTGGGGCGCCTGCATGGCTCAGTTGTTAAGCATCTGCCTTCGGCTCAGGTCATGATCTCAGGGTCCTGGGATCGAGCCCTGCTTCGGGGTCCCTGCTCCGCAGGAAGCCTGCTTCTCCCTCTCCCACTCCTGCTTCTTGTGTTCCCTCTCTGTGTCTCTCTCTGTCAAATGAATCTTTAAAAAAAAACTTCTGCAAGAAAAAAATATGCCACAAAGTCAAAAGACAACAAACTGGGGTCAAGGACCGGGAGGACATGACAAATGAGGTTAACTGCCTTCTGAATAAAAACTCACCAGGCAATAGGAAAAATGTCAGTATCCTAACAGCCAAGTGGGTAAAGACACCAATGGGCAATTCACAAGCAAGATAAAAGCAACAGAGTTGAGATGATCAGTATTTTAATCTGAGAGATACAAGTTAAAACAAGCACGTGCTGTTCTGCATTCTCACAGAGGCAAAGATCAAAACATCTGCTGTCGCCAAGTGTTGTGAGAAGACAAGAACTCTCAGGGCGGTCACCTGTTCAGGTCAAAGGGAGACCTTTGACCCAGAGAATTTAGCAACCCATAGATGCAACACGGCCTGCCCCCCTCCCACCTCTGGGGTGGGTCTTTGTTTGTCTATATGTTTTTCTCTCTCTCATTTTCCCTCCCCACTGTTTCACAAAATTGCTCCCAATTTTCTTGTCAATTAAGCTGGGAAAAAGGGCGCCTGGGTGGCTCAGTCGGTTAGGCGACTGCCTTCGGCTCAGGTCATGATCCTGGAGTCCCGGGATTGAGTCCCGCATTGGGCTCCCTGCTCAGCGAGGAGCCTGCTTCTCCCTCTAACCCTCCCCCCTCTCATGTACTCTCTCTCTCTCTCTCTTACTCACTCTCTCAAAATAAATAAATAAATCTTAAAAAAAAAAAAGCTGGGAAATAATTGCAAGCTAACAGCTTACCCAATTCATAAAGACTGTAACTGGTAGAAATGAACAAAATTAATTTAACAATGGCTAACATTGATATAAGCCTCAGGGTTTTTTTTAGCTACTACATTTAGATGTTAAAAATTTGACTCCAGGTGTTATGCTGAATGAAATAAGTCAATCAGAGAAAGACATGTATCATATGGCCTCACTGATATGAGGAATTCTTAATCTCAGGAAACAAACTGAGGGTTGCTGGAGTGGTGGGGGGGTGGGGAGGATGGGGTGGCTGGGTGATAGACATTGGGGAGGGTATGTGCTCTGGTGAGCGCTGTGAATTGTGCAAGACTGTTGAATCACAGATCTGTACTTCTGAAACAAATAATGCAATATATGTTAAGAAAAAAAAAGAAGAAGATAGCAGGAGGGGAAGAATGAAGGGGAGTAAGTCGGAGGGGGAGACGAACCATGAGAGACGATGGACTCTGAAAAACAAACTGAGGGTTCTAGAGGGGAGGGGGGTGGGGGGATGGGTTAGCCTGGTGATGGCTATTAAAGAGGGCACGTTCTGCGTGGAGCACTGGGTGTTATGCACAAACAATGAATCATGGAACACTACATCAAAAACTAATGATGTGGGGCGCCTGGGTGGCTCAGATGGTTAAGCGTCTGCCTTCGGCTCAGGTCATGATCCCAGGGTCCTGGGATCGAGTCCCGCATCGGGCTCCCTGCTCGGCTGGAAGCCTGCTTCTCCCTCTCCCACTCTTCCTACTTGTGTTCCTGCTTTCACTGTGTCTGTCTCTGTCAAATAAATAAATAAAATCTTTAAAAAAAAAAACTAATGATGTAATGTATGGTGATTAATATAACAAAAAAAAAATTGACTCCAGACAGTAGGAACTTGGTACAAATAATGCAGAAGGATCAAAAGGGCAGAAGCTGTTATTGGTAAGATTTGATAGAGCCAAAAGCTGATCTATGAATTAAATATGTTACAAAATCTTCCGGGAAAAGGGGAGTGTTTAATGAGCACGGGCTTAGTACATATGTGTTCGACAGTGGCCACTCCTTGAACCCATCACGGGGACGTCAGAGCATCCTCAATCCCTCTTCCCACCAGTCTTTGCAAGCAATGGGAGAAACGCTAAGTGTGGGAAGGGGCCAGCGCGCGGCGTGGGCCGCTGGGCGCACCGCGAGTTGCGGAGCCGCGCGGCGGGAAGACTACAACTCCCAGCACGCCCCGCGCCGCCCAGCCTTCCCAGAAAGCCGCTGGCCGCGCGCTCTCGGGCAGCGCGTTCCCGACATGCTCCGCGGCGGCCGCCAACCGCCGGATTTGAATCAGGTCCGCGCTCTGCGGCTGTGCCGGCGGGATGGGCGCTTCGTCGTTGCCCCCCGCCTGGCAGCTCTACCTCAAGGACCACCGCATTTCTACGTTCAAGAACTGGCCGTTCTTGGAGGGCTGCGCCTGCACCCCGGAGCGGGTGAGACCGCGCGGCCTCCCTGGGCCCCAGGCCCGCCCTTCCGCAGAGCCCTGACGCGGCCCCGGGGTGACCCCCTCCAGCTGTGGGCTCTCGGCCCCGTGAAACCCCTCCCTCTGTGGGTTCCCGAATGCTGAGCGGCCCCTCGCTCTGTGGGCTTCCAGACCCCGGGGCGACCCCTCCCTCTGTGGGCTTTCGGCCCCGGGCGACCCCTCCAGCTGTGGGATGGCAGCCCCGTGAAACCCCTCCTTCTGGGCTCCCGGGCCCCGGGCGACCCCTCCGTCTGTGGGATCCCGCCCGAGGCTACCCCTCCCGCTACCGGCTCCTGGGACCCTGGAGCGCCTCCCGGGCCTGAGCCTCAGCTCTCCCTTGCAGATGGCCGAGGCCGGGTTTATCCACTGTCCCACTGAGAACGAGCCCGACTTGGCCCAGTGTTTCTTCTGCTTCAAGGAGCTGGAAGGCTGGGAGCCAGATGATGACCCTATGTAAGTCCCCCAGGCCAACTTCGCTGGGTTTCCAGCTTGCCCCGGCTCCATCCCCAGCTCCTGTTTTGAGCTGGGCCTGCGAAAACTATCTGAATTTCCAAGACACTTAGTGATGGAGCCGTGGCTTTCCGAGTTCGTTTTGTGCCCCAAACAGTTATTGCGAATGGATGAATCTCTTTATGTTGGTGCCCTGGTGGTGCTTTCAACCTTTTCAAACCTGATTTGGCCAGACGTCTTCCAGAGTGGATGCTGAAGAAAAGGCTCATTCTTGTAGGACTGCCCTTGACACCCTTGAGGTCTGGCCGAATCCAGGCGCAAATCCTGTGGTGACCTGGGGATGTCCAGGTGCTTTCCTTGTTTTAAAGTCTTCAAATCTAAAGCTTTATTGAGCTGTCACTAACACAGCAGAGAAAATACTCTCTTAAATGGAACACTTGTGTTGTTTCGGGTTTTGTTCTTTAAGGCATCTGGATTTGTTTTTGGTTGTGTTTTTTGTTTGTTTTTTTTTTTAATTCTGTGTGTATGTCCAGACCCTGATGGCTGTCTTTTTGTATGTGACAGCACTTTCTTTTCTCATCTTTTTTCCCCGTCAGACCCGATCGCTGCCATATGTTAATATTTTCCTATAGAGAATCACCCAAGTTGTCCCTTCTTGGCAAGAAGAGAGTTGTTGTTTTCTCTAACGTGTTTGCTCTTATGACCCTTTTTTAAGATTTTATTTATTTACTTGACAGAGAGAGAGGGAGAGAACAGAAGCAGGGAGAGCGGCAGGCAGAGGGAGAAGCAGGCCTCCCGCTGAGCAGGGAGGCCGATGTGGGGCTCGATCCCAGGACGCTGGGATCATCACCTGAGCCGAAGGCAGCCCCTTAACTGACTGAGCCACCCAGGCGCCCCCCTTATGACCCATTCTTGACTAGGATGGCATGGTGCTCATACCGGGGATCACTGGGAAAGTACCCGTTGTATTCTTGGGAGTGAATTTCTAAGTGCTAGAGTATTTTCAGATAGTAGTTCCTGTGGGCTGTCCTTTTGGACTCTGTATGGCTGTGTGTTCATTCCAGTACTGTTCTGCTCACACTGCTGTCTGCTATATGCAGGGATAATTCCCAATGCAGAGAATGAGGCTGGGGAGTTCACTGGAGAAGCCTGGCCAATGATGCCCTTACTGGGACCCAGCAAGCAGATTCTGTAACAATTCCAGTGAAATGAGATTACTTCAGACAGTTCCTTCCTTGAGGATTTTAGAGGGATTTGAAGTGTGCTACCTCTGCACTTATATACCACGTGACACATTTCCTGCTAATTGCTGAAGGACTCCAGATAAAATACATCAGCCCCAAGCATGGTGGGGAGACGTCCAGAGAGAGGGCAGGGGGCAGAGACGGGCTGTGTGGGAGTGTGCCCTGGGACCTAGCAGTGGTTCTGTGTACTTCACGAGGCGGAGGGAGGCATGTTTGTGAGCCAGGGTGCTGGGTGTTGCTGACAAACCGTTGTTTTTCTCCCTTTACCTGACTTTTCTCTGTTAACATGCTCCCGTATTGATTTTTCTAGAGAGGAGCATAAAAAGCATTCATCTGGTTGTGCTTTCCTTTCTGTAAAGAAGCAGTTTGAAGAATTAACCCTCAGTGAATTTTTGAAACTGGACAAAGAAAGAGCCAAAAACAAAATCGTATGTATTATCGGGAGTAAGAACCAAGGGCAAACCCTGTTGAGCTTCTGTAGCACTGAGTTCCCCGCCCCTCGTATTGGAGGGGCTTAGTTTTCCTCAGTAAGCATTTTTAAGCCCCTCAGATGGATATGTGAGGATATAAAGGACAGAAAAGCGTCTGTCCTGGAATGTGGTCTTGGGGTTGTGCAGTCAGAGAAAAACGTGTTCCCTCCTGGAGGATGTGCTTAGTGTGAGGTACCTCTGGTGGTGGAGCGGTGATGGTTAGGCTGGTGCCCAGCCTTCAGTGACAGTCTGTGTGGGAGGCCATTTACATAGTGTGTATTCATGTGTGAGCATGGTGGGGACAGAGGGTTTGGGGGCACAGAGTAACATATCAGGGAAAAAGAGGCACAGTCCAACTGGACCTTGGGATTTCTGCAGGTGAACTTTGACTTGTGGACAGGCATCCTGGGTTATCGGGAGAGAGGAGGGGTGAGGCTCTGGGTCCACAACGAGGTGGGTACCAAGCAACCTGGGCTGTAGAGAAAATCAGGGCTCCCAGTTAAATCTGAATTTCAGGTACATGGGGAATAATTTATCAGTATAGCTCACATTTTGTATGGATGTATACTAAAAAAGTTACTCGTTTTTATGGAGTTCAAATTTGGCTGGACATCCTCTATTTTCATTTGCTAAGTGTGGCCATGTTACAGAGAATAAATGTTTGGGTGTTTCATATCATTGTAGCAAAGCACTGGGCTGGGAGTGGACATCCTGGTTCTGTCCCCACCATTCGTGGGCTCTGTGAGTTTAGGCCAGTCTTGGTTGCACATGGAGGGCAGATCCCCGTGGTTTCTGAGATCCTTTTCTGGTTGAAAATTTATGTTCCTTTTGAGATGATTATGAAATAGTTCTGTCTAATATAGTATAAATGCTGAAGACCACATTTTTTGTTAGGAAAGGGGAAGAAATTGGTGCTCAGTATAGCAAGTTGTGGAAGAGTGTTTACACCGTGGGGGCCTTGGGGACCGCAGTGTTGGAAGCAGGAAGTGGGCCAGAGAGAGCCTTCTAGGTCAGGCGTCAGCACACCCTCTGTGAAGTGCCACAGATGGTAAATATTTTAGCCTTCATGGGCTTCATGGTTTCTGTTAGGTATTTTTTTTTTTAAGATTTTTTTTATTTATTTGAGAGAGTGAGAGAGCGTGAGCACAGGGAAGGGGCAGAGGGAGAAGGAGAAGCAGACTCCCTGCTGAGCAGGGGGCCCAACGCAGGACTCGATCCCAGGACCCTGGGATCATGACCTGAGCCGAAGGCAGACACTCAACCGACTGAGCCACCCAGGTGCCCTCTGTTAGATATTATTCTTTTTGTTCTGTTTTGTTTTCACAACTGTTTAAAAATGTGAAAACCATTCATAGCCCAATGTATGAAAATAGGCCATATGTCCCACAGGCCACAGTTTACCAAGCCCGTTCTAGGTGAGAGACCAGCCTGTTCACTTAGGAGACAATTGTGAGAAAGCTGTGCCCCAGCGAGCTGGAGGAAGATTGATGCGTAGCCCAGGGAGAGGCTGAAACCAAACTGTAGAGCGCTGAAAAAGACAAAGGATGTTAGGTGGTTGTAACAAAGAGGAAACGTGGTTGTGACAGCACAGCTCCAAGACAGTGAGTGACCCAGTGCTCCAAGGCCCCTTGGTCTGATAGGCAGAGTCACGTGGCCTATGGGGAGAAGTGATTCACTGAAGCAGGAAGCCCACCAGGAGACACTTGGTCACCAGGTCACCATTATCTTCGGGAACAGCAGTGGGGCCACACCAGGCCAAGGTGAACAGGCAAGAAGGGAGAAAAGTGGGGGATAGGAAGAAAATGTTTTGCTTTCATTGTACAACTGTTTCTGTTCTCCCCAAGTCAGAATACAGGATATGTTATTTTTTTTTAAAGACTCTTATTTAGGGGCGCCTGGGTGGCTCAGTCGTTAAGCGTCTGCCTTCAGCTCAGGTCATGATCCCGGGGTCCTGGGATTGAGCCCCGCAGCAGGCTTCCTGCTCAGTGAGCCTGCTTCTCCCTCTCCCTCTGCCTGCTGCTCCCCCTGCTTGGGCTCTCTCTCTCTTTCAAATAAATAAATCTTTAAAATAATCTTTAAAATCTTTAAAAATAAATAAATAAAGATTCTTATTTATTTGAGAGAGAGAGAGCGTGCAATCCAGCACCAGCAGGGGAGGGGCGGAGGGAGAAGCAGACTCCTCATTAAGCAGGGAGCCGAATGTGGGGCTCGATCCCAGGACTCCAGGATCATGACCTGAGCTGAGGGTAGACATTTAACCAACTGAGCCACCCAGGCATCCCAGAATACAGGATACTTTAAAACGATGCCTTTGTTTCTATTACTTTGTTTAAGTACAAAACAAACAATATAAGCTTCCAGAAGGAAGAATCCAAAGCTCCACTTCTATGCCATGGACTGTTTAGTGTGTCTCCTTCCAGATAATTTTTAAATTTCTGTATTTTAAAGAATAAAAAGTGTGAGATGTTCATACTTTCCTTAATTGGTTTATACAACTTAAATAACAGGGAAGTTTTTGTAAGCCCGTGGCTCTCAACTATACTGTTACGATGTTGTAGAGCTGTGCTCTCCCCACCCCGTGGCCATCAGCCACGAGTGGCTTTTATGACGAAGATTCTGTAAGAGTGCAGATTTCCGTGCTCCGGTCACAGAGAGCGTCTTACGTGCCCAGTGGGTGCGCATGTCTGGTTGCTGCTGTGCTGCGCCCCGCAGATAATGGAATAGTTCTGTCATTGCAAAAGGTTCTGTTGGACATGCTGTTCTAGAGTACCAGCTGATTGTGAGATTTGCTGCAAATAATTTATCACTAGTATGTAAGTCAGGTCCCCTCGTGTCCCCATGCACTTGCCCATGTGAGTGGTTGGTCATGTCTGGGAACCGGCATAACCAGAGGTCTGTCTGCTTCGCCCTGGAGCCCCATGGGCAGTCTAGGGCATCTCACTCCTGGGGGTGGGCTGGCACGCAAACCTTGTCTGTTCTGTAGGGGTAAATAAGGTTGGGGCCTGGTATTTTAAACTATTAAGTCAGCTATGTGATTGCAGCATGTAGTTTAAGGTAATCGTTTATTGGACGTTCGTTAAAAAGAACCAGATGAAATAATTGTGTTGGGTCTGCAGATACTGGAGACAAAGAACAGGTGTTTGCTGTGATGCTGTGGATTTCTGAGGCCCCAGACTTACGTGGGAGGTGCTGCTGCTAGTCTGTGTGACAGGATCACTGATGGAGCAGCCCACCTGGGGCCCTGAGGTGTCCCTGCTGGACAGCCGGCCTTTTAGGACGCTAACCCGGGAGCGCGCTGCCCGCTCTGTGGCTCTTCTTGCTGCTGCAGGCTACATCTGCCTTTTGAGAAAAACGAAGTAAATTAGAACCAGCTAGAAAACAAATCAGTTCAGGGGATGAACTTAATATGGGAGCAAGCAGAGAAACCTCTGTCAGACTTGAGTTTGTAGACACTAGCAATGAGGCTGAAATGAAGCACAAGAGGAAGGAAGAAGGGTCCTAAGCTCCAGATGGCAAACTTGTGCTCAGTGCGTTTTATGGTGTTTTTTATTATTTTTTTTTTAAGATTTTATTTATTTATTCACCAGAGAGACAGCAGGAGAGGGAGCACAAGCAGGGGAAGTGGGAGAGGGAGAAGCAGGCTTCCCGCCGAGCAGGGAGCCTGATGCGGGGCTCGATCCCAGGACCCTGAGATCACGACCTGAGCCGAAGGCAGACGCTTAACGACTGAGCTACACAGGTGTTTTATGTTTTTAATAGTTTCTGATTTTTTTAAAAAAGATTTATTTATTTGTTTTAGAGAGATAATGGGAGGGGCAGAGGAAGAGGGAGAATCCCAAGCAGACTCCTCGCTGAGCATAGAACTGGATGAGGGGCTCAATCTCGTGACCCTGAGATGATGACCTGAGCTGAAATTAAGAGTCAGACGCTTAACCGACTGAGCCACCCAGGTGGTGCCCCGTGAATTTCTGAGTTTTGCTTCAATCCACCTTTATTAAGAAAGCATAGGGGCGCCTGGGTGGCTCAGTCAGTTGAGCAACTGGCTCTTGTTTTTGGCTCAGGTCATGATCTCAGGGTTGTGGGATCGAGCCCCAAGTTGGGCTCTGTGCTCAGCTGAGAGTCTGCTTGGGATTTTCTTTCTCCCTCTTCCTCTCTCCCTCCTCCTGCATGCGTGTGTGCACTCTCTCTTTCTAAAATAGATAAATCTTTAAAAAAATGTATAAATTGGAGGTGTTGACCTCCATGTTGTGGTGGTTAAATTACAGCCTGTGTACATTGGGGCTTATTTAATTTTAGACTTTTTTGAAAGAGAAGAAAAAAGTAAATAAAAAATATATTTTAAAAGGCCATGGTCAGGACCCCTGGCTGGCTCAGTCGGTGGAGCATGCAACTCTTGATCCTCACGGTTGTGAGTTCAAGACCCATGGCGAGTGTACAGATTACTTAAAAAAAAAAAAAAGAAAAAAAGCACGGTCATCTTTCCGTATCTGTAAAGACGAGGCTCTCGAGCTGCAGAGTTGTCTGTTACAGGGCACACCCTTAACTGTCAGATGCTATGTTCTCTTTTTCGTGTCAATTTCTTATTTTTTAAATTAATTTTTCTTTTAATTAATAATTCTAAGTAAGCCTTATACATGGCGACAAAATTAAGATACACAAAAATACATAATGAGAAGTAATTTTTTAAAGTTAGCCTCTAATTAGAAAACAAATTTAGCCTGATAAAGGTCTGTTAGCTTTTTTTTTTTTTAAGATTTTATTTATTTATTTGAGAGAGAGAGCACATGAGAGGGGGGAGGTTCAGAGGGAGAAGCAGACTCCCTGCT